ATTTAAAAAAAAGATTTTTTTTTTCTTCAGGGTTTTTTTTTTTTTTTTAAATTTTTCGCTTTTCCTCGATCTGCACATCTTGCGTAAAGAAAAATAAAAGCAAAACAACCACAGACGTGACAGAACTCGGGTCGGTAAATTACGACTGTTTTGTTATTTAGCATCTTACAAGAGCGAAATATTATATTGTGGGGCAGACAGTGAAATGAATTTTTAACTTTACGGAAAATTAGCTATTGAAATTTAGTAAAAGTAAATATTTCAACAATTTCCGAAACAACGAATTTAAATCAATTTTAGTAAATATGAAACTTTGATTCTAATTGAAACTACAACTGATACTAGATGCGCATTGAGTAATCGTGGGCAAATAGTCGCGGATCAATGAGCAAAACTACTAATGCACATGTAAATTATCTTGCTTGAAAAATCTACGTATGAAAACACAAAAGGGCGAAGAAAAAAAGTTATTTGTTTTCTCCACATGTTCTATATACCTCAGAAACGACGAGAATGAGCCTCCGAGCGGGAGACACCGTTACCTCGACGAAACCATTACCATTACCAACGACGACGAAATTAACGACGACCGGGGAGCATAAAGACGGCCGAGCAGCACCCCGGCCGGATACGAAGGCCGCGACGAGGAAGCGCCGCCAGCCGCAGCAACCCCATCAGGAGACTGTGATACCACCGCCCCCGAAATCGCGGCGCAGAGGCGAGCCAGCCACCAGCCCCGAAGCCAACAGATCGCTCATCGGCGACTTTTTTTCGACACTCGCTTCGCGCATCCGGGGCACCATGGCCTCCACCGAAGCCACCCTCGTGGTACGCACAATTACTTTTCGATCGATATAATGAAAAAAAAAAAAAAAAAAAAAAAAAAAATTAATTCACAAGCGCAACTTTTCCCCGACCAATCAGATGAATCGAGCCAACTCGGGAAATCGACCAGCCGACGACACAGCCATGGCGGAAATGCCGGTGAAGCAAAAACAGAGCCACGAGCTGGAGGAAGAGGGTGCCGATCGCGACCCGAGCAAAAAAAGAAAATTCGAGGAAATCGAGGAATCGGCAGGTAACGTGACCGAGGAAAGGGACGAGCAGGTAGCCACGGAGTCGAAAGGCACAATAATACCCCAAGGGAGCCCCGTCGAGGAGGAGATAATAGGCATGTGCCGGAACATAGTGGCCGACATGTGCGAGAAAATCCAGAGCACGAAGAAATTCGAGTCGCGGGCCAGCGTGGCCACGGTCGTACTCTCCACGGGGTCCGATCACCTCCCCGAGGCCCTGGAGACGTGGAAGTACGCCACGATCGAGGCGGACTTTGGCAACGGCTCGAGACAATCGATCGGTTCGAAGAAATCGGCGTCCGATGACGACCGAGACTCGGCCAACGCCAGCAGCCAGAAAGGTGCTTGCGGGAGATTGGCTTTGATGAGGTTTTCGGGCAAGGCGGGCAAGAGCGAGGCCGAGAGGCACCGGAGGACCATACAGTGGCTGGAGGAGGGCGCGAGGCGCTTGCGGGAGGAGTTGGCGCGCGCGAGGTCGGAGCTGCACGAGGAGCGCAAGGCTTCCAAGCTTTTGCGCCGGGAGATGGAGATGGCGGTCAAGGAGGCCAGGTGCGCCGAAGCTCTCAAGTTCACGGGCATCGTTTCGGAACTTAAGGCCAGGTGGGTTCCTCTTTTTTTTTTTTTTTTTTTTTTTTTTGCAGAATCTTGATGATCGCCAGTGTCTGAAAGTTACTTTTAGCAATGAAAATACTTTTGATCAATCGCGTGAGACGTTTTGACAAGAATGATTAGGTGTGGTGGAAAATCGTACCACGTACTAGACCTTTACAGTTTTAAAACAACGCTCTGGTTATTTTTCAAAGGAGCGACCAAATGAAATTTTTTACATGTTCCTGGCAGTAAATATCCTGTAAAAAATAAACTTCTGGTCAAACTCGTGTTTCGTTTAGTAAAAAATAATAAAGTATCTTTAAAAAAAGCGTAAAAATAACAGTAATTTTATGTACATTTAGTCGTCGGTACTATTTACAAGTTTTTAAACTCAATTGTCATGAATTGAGCAAATGTAGATAATAAACAGTACAATAGCGTTGACGCTTTTTTTTTTTTTTTTTTTTTTTTTTTTTTTACAAATTATAGATTATCTCAGTCTCCGTCCAAATCAACGATGGATTCTTTACAAAGCCAGTCGAAGACTGATCTTTTGAAAGAAGAAAATCACAGGCGAGAAATAGCTACTCTGAAAAATCGGTTGGCCGAGGCCGAAACGATGGTACAGAAACTCAAGACTGACTTTTTGGGTCAAACCAGGGGCAGAAAAAAAAACAAAGTCGAGAGCAAAGGGCGACACGAGATGCGGAAACTCGAGGTTGAAATCCAAACTCTAAAAATGGTCAACAAAAAGCTCGAGGAAAGGTTACAAGTAAGTTAACCCAAAGAAACTTTTTAATTTTAACACCCACCGAGTATTAAGATACAACGCAAATAAAAAACTTGCATTCACATGATTTTTTAAAAATAAATAATACGATTGCGTAGTGTTTTAAAAATCGTAATTTAAAATAAAACAAAACCGATTATTGCGTTTCGAATTTCAAACGCCGTGAAACATGACAACCATTTATGCAAACTTGTTTGAAAGTTACGGGCGAATATTTTAATTATTTTGTTCTTAAAAAATAGTACACGTATGATTTTTCTACGGACCATCCATTGGAGGCTGCAGATTTCGAGTTTTTATAACGTTAGTCAGCCAAGGTACCGATTTCTTTGGACTTCTCGTTCTATTTTCATCGGTAAAATCAACGTGAAACAGACCATACCTCTCTCTAAAAAATTTTGTCGAGTACGTTAATGATTGATTTAAAAAATATTCAATGTTTTTACTTGTATACCAACACTTACTTGTAGCCATTTTGCCACTCAAAGTTATCTAATAGGCTCCAAACTGTGTAAGCTTTGACATTACATCCAAATGTTTTTATGGCAGTAAGCATTGCTTTCATGTATGAATACAAGTATCCCATACGCTGGGTGTCTGTTAATTCACCAGTATCCGCAATACCGTTTTCGGTGATGTACACTTCGATGTCTCCGTAATTATCTTTTATTTTTCGTAAATTGTCCAGTAGTCCTGAAGGTACGATCTTGAATAATAAATATTGTTTTCGTAAATCATGCTATGAATAAATTATAACTCATATTACACAGAATTAAAAAAAAAAATTTTGGTCAGTTTTTCACAAAGTTCATAACTTCTGAGTTTCAAAAGCATAAAAAATTTACAACCAACTAAAAATTAATTAATTATTGTTTTCAACCAAAAATCTTTTGTACAAACCCTGAGCCAAGAGGTTGGCGTTTTAGGCCATTTAGGGTCATGAGTATACACTAAGCCATCGTCATTTTCGTAAATAGTCTTATTTGATCCAAGAATAGGCTCCACGTTGTAAGAATTATAATGATTAAAGCCTAAAACGTCTGAAGTTCCCCTAAAAATGTGACTTGTATAATTTGCCGTAAAGTTAATGTTGTCATGACATATTAATTACGTACATTTAAACTATACTTACTTGATATAATCCACCCATTCTCGGGAAAAAGTTGGTAATCTCGAACGTAGCAGACCTTCAAATTTGCTGTTTTCTGCTATTCTTCGTTTGATACTGTCGGGATAGTCTCCCTCTTTCGAGAATATTGGATGTGCGTATTTACCAAATGCAAATTGCCAGGCTACATCCTCGGAAACAGTATCGTTTCCGTACTTTGAGTAGTAATAATGACTGTGTATGACAATTCCAATTTTTCCCTTTTGCTGAGCCCGGAATTCCTCGTTGTAAATGTGATAAGCTCGAGCGTGAGCTTTCAACAAATTATGAGCACAAACGTACTGCCCGTACCTTCCCAACTGCAGTCCTAAAAGGTAACAATTTAACCTGGACCTGAAATTACGTTACCACGCCTTAAACATACTTACCTGGGGCTTTGATTCCCAAGTAATAACCGGTCTCGCATATCACGTCGGGCTCGTTAATCGTGAAGAAAAATTTGACACGATGACCATATTCTTTGAACACAACTCTAGCATAATCACCGAACAAATCAACCATGGCCTCACTTGCCCAACCGCCCATGTCTTGAAACAATTGCGGATGGTCCCAGTGATAAATTGTTACGAACGGTTTGATATCGTTTTTCTCCAATTCATCCAACAAATCGTGATAATATTTTATTCCAACTTTGCTTATGACGTTTGCGTATCCTGTTGGTAATATCCGAGTCCAGCTTAACGAAAATCGATAAAAGTCCACCTACACAATAACGATTCATAATTATTAGGATCAACTGTTGATCACAGTTTATTCGACACGTGAAATTGTCACTCACACCCAATTGTTTCAACAATTGTACGTCTTCTTTGTATCTGTGAAACGAATCTGCGGCAACATCTCCATTGGATCCATCTTCGATCCGACCGGAATCGGCATGCGTGAATCGGTCCCAAACACTTTCCCCTTTATCTTAGAATACAAATAATTTCATTCGTACGAATTAACCGATTGAACCATAAATTCGAGAAATAATTGTGTGATACCACTCGTGTTCCAAGCTCCTTCTATTTGATACGCAGATGTTGCAGCACCAATGAGAAAACCATCGGGAAATATCCAGTTATCTTCATCGGCATGAACTAAACTGTAAAAATATTACTCATTCATCAGAACGAGTTTTTTTTTTTTTTTTTTTTTCATTTTCTTAATAAACATTAGAACTATACCTGATGTAATAGAACAAACTAATAAACAAACAATAACAATTATACATATCGTTACGATTATGTCGCTGGAAAAAAAAGTTTTAGATAAATAACTATTTTGCGTTTTCTTGTGACACTTTATTCTCCAACAAATGCTGGTATGAAACTAAAGAGACTGTATAGGCTATTTGGAATTCAAGTGAGATATCATACAATTTTTATTAAGTGCAATGCTAAAAATATAAAAATCGATATGTTTTAAGATGCTTGACTCGACACAGATTCAAACGTATTTAGTTCATGTTATCATAGTATGCTTCATTAATTCAACCGACACACTTATCAATTGACATTGCTGTTGCTGGCAACTTTATAGTAGATCGAATACAAATTTTTTTTAAATGTAAACATTTTTTACTATTAGAATAATATTTCAATCATTCTTGTAGTGGAAAAACATTTACTCACAAAATTTATTTGTATCATAAACAAACGGCGTAATATTATGTACGTATGGATGTAATATTTTAATGCTCTTATATATTGCGTGAGTTTATTAACACCACATTCTTGATTTAATGTAACGACATCAACAATTTTTGAATTAATTTTTATTTGACTTAGAAAAACGATGTTTGAACATTTTTGTGTACTTTTCGAGTACGTAATACTGTAGAAAATTAGTTTGCTGATTTCTCCGTAGTTTTCGTTCTGTTTAGATCCTATACAGGATTATAAAAACTGTGAGGTATGCTATTTATTGCAGTCAAATCTGAATTGTTTAAAAAAGTTTAAACAATTTTTAAAATAAATTTACTTCATTGCGAGGCGTACACGTTGGAGACGAAACAAATTTTTTTACCCATTTCGATGACATTTTAGGCGTCCGAGTGCGATTATAATCGTCAAAATTTACACTGACGAGCCCAAATCGCTCGCTAGAAACCAGTAAATGAAGAAAAAAAATGATAGCAAGAATCGGTGAAAAATATTTTAATACAGCAAAGCTCTTACCTGTAGCCTCTGTCCCATTCGAAATTGTCCAACAAACTCCAAATGGTATAGGCTCTAACGTCACACTTGTCGTGTTTCATAGCTATCAGCATCTGCTGCGTGTATCCATGCAAGTAACTGACTCTTTGGGAGTCTGTTAGTGCTTCGCCAGAGACACCATTTTCTAAAATATATACTGGCGGATTATTGTACTCTAATGATAATTTCTTGAGCACGTTGCGTAAGCCTTCGGGTACAATCTGCATGATTTTTTAAAGGAATATTAACGATCTGTTTGCTCAAAAGATTTTTTCAAAGATTATTATTTACTCACCTTGAGCCAAGAGCTGGTTGTATTGGGCCACTTAGGATCATAACTAAAAACAACATCTGCATCATTTTCTTCCTTTGTTTCGTTGCTCGGCAAAACACTCTCCACAATTGCCGAAGTGTAATGATTTAACCCAAAATAATCGGATGTACCTCTGAAATACAAAAAAAAAAAAAATCAATAGTTCAACTTTTTTTTGCATATCTAGTTTACATCAATGATTTTACAAGAGAAAGACGTAAAAAATGTTTGCACGTTTTATTTTAATTATAAAACAATTCTTACCTTACATAGATGAATGCACTAAGAATAAGAACATGCACCTATACATACACAAAAACTTCGTGGCGGAGAAATAAAGAATTTTAGTTGCGTAAGAACATAATATATTTAAGTATTCAAGATGTATCTTCATGTAATTTACGGTATTAATTTTATTAAAAAATACGCTATGTTTGGTAAAGATTACAAATAAAACAGGACAGGTGTTCCATGGTCATGTGTGCACACAACCTCTGAATCTAAGAAAATTCGCATTACCTTCAGGAAGAAGCAAGAAAGACTAGAAATAACAACTTTTGTTCGCTTTCTTACATTGAACAAAACGTTGTTGCAATAAAAAAATAGCTATTAATTAAGGTAAAACCGTTCCCATTACTTATAGTTTTTTCGATGTTTCTCGTTCAAATTAAGGTAAATCATTGTTAGAAAAATTATAGCACGTGTAAATAACTATTAAAAATAAGACACATCTATGTTTATTTTATTTCTTCAACAAAACCATTAAAGNAAAAAAAAAAAAAAAAAAAAATCAAACAATAAATTTTAATTTTCATCGAAGACCTGAGCATTCTTTGTATTGTGCACCAATGTTATTTTAACGCCTCCCATACTTTGCAGATTGCCGAGGAATGCGTCAGGGCGCGGGCGGCCGAGGTGAGACAGGAGCACGAGAAACACGAGGCGGAAATGACAGGGTTGCAACGAGCCCTGCGCAGCGACACGATTAAGATGGTGAGTCGGCCGGAGGCAGCGGCAGCAGCTAGTTCCCGCCCAATGCTCTTCTATTTCATTTTGTTTTCCTACTTTGTCCACTATTTCGTCAAACGGCAAAACTTCGGTCTCCTATGTCCCTTGGCGTTCGTCTGCGACGTGCAGCGAATGCGTCGGTTCTACGATTACATTCGGACGGTCAATGTCAAGGGCCTCTCGGGGTTTTGCTCCCTTTTGTCGAAGCAGAAGCTAGAAGAGTTGCTGCTGTGATATACTTACCTATAATGACACCGATCATGGGGAGATGCTTTATTGTTTCTTGGGTGTCTTTTTCATACCTTTTCAGTCGAGTCGATCGGAGAAATCGTGATTTCGCCCGCTATTAATCTCGACCGATTCGCCAACCGATCGATGCTTCGAATGGACGATTTTTCGGAAATTAAATTTTTAAAATTAAGGCAACAAACACCGTGTTGTAATTTTTTATTCTTTTTGCTCAATAACTTTTGTACATAATCTTTTAACGAATTTTGAATAAATTTTTCTTGAAGTAACTGTTTAGTTTTCGTCCATCGTATAATTTTTATCTAGTCTAAGATAACTCGTTGGTAATTTACTTGAGATTACTTTCTTCGATCAGTAGCCGATATTTACTGGAAACATACACTTCGAAAAACTGTCTTTTTTTTTTTTCTTATAGTTTCATTCCTCGATGTTAAAAATTAAAAAAAGTTTTTTTTTCTTCAAATGATATCATAGTAGTCGATGCAAAATAAAGTGCACGTATTTTAGACACTTTTAATTTCTGCATGAACTGATATTTTATACTACTCTTAAAAAAAAAGGTTTGTATGGATTATTAAAAAGTTACTTTTAGGTACAACTTGACTTACCCCCATTTCCTTGATAAGTTTTATATCCTCTTTGTACTTGTGGTAAGAATCACACGCAACATCCCCGGTTGATTGATTCACAATTTTTTGCGGGTTTTCGTGTACAAATCTATCCCAAACGCTTTCACCCTTATCTACACGCAATGAACGAGTATTGCCAGTAATTAAACTGCTAAGTGATGTATTTAAAAAAAAAAAAAAATCAATAATTGAAAACCATGGAATCATTCACTCACCGCTAACATTCCAGGCTCCTTCGATCTGATAGGACGATGTGCCAACCCCAACAGAAAACCCTTCCGGTAATTTTAATTCAAAATCACAATGATTTTGAGCACATATTGACTGTGCAACAATCCTACATATGTTTACTTTAATAAAATATAATATGAAAATCGATAAAGATGAAAGTCTTTTTATAATTACCTTGAAAATACAAAAGTCATTACCATACACATGTACATGGCTGAATACATTTTGAGACTTACATCTTATTTAAAACTTTATTGTTTAGTCATTGGCCAATGTTTAATACAAGTTAAAGTTACGATGCATATAAAATTGTTTAAGTAAAAATGGAAAAGCCATTCATGTCACTGACGTGCGTATGTTAAGAGACACTTGAAAAAACACTTATCAAGCCTGGATTACAATGGATAACTAGTTGTACAAAAGTTGGGTAACGAAAACACAGGTAGAAATTATTGAAGTGATTGTGCAGTTTTTTACTTATTCATCAGTTCCAATTGCCATAAAAAGTTTTGTCTTACTTAAAGTTTTCTTATTCCACTGACTCTACACTGATAGTATTTTGTCGTTGTTTATTCGCACTCCTGAATACATATCATTACTTTAATTTCATTACTTCAAAATGTGATGAATTTTCGATATCTATTATCTAGTGTTTTGTTACATAACTCAATATAAAAAAAAAAAAAAAAAAATTGTATTTGATTCATTATTAGTCCTTCGTATTTCTAAAACGTATAAAACTCTAGTAACTTGTTAAAAACAGTCAACAGCAGTTAATAATAACTCGTAGGTCTTTAATGAAAATATTATGAAAATTCAGTTTTTCAATTAAACAAGAGTTAAAAAAAAATAAAAAGTAGACCGAAGAAACGTATTATAGATACACTGTGCCTACTTTTATTATCGTGTACACTTTTGAACTTGCACTAAGGAAAAATCCGCTGACGCTATGAAATAAGTATTATCAGAAGTGCTTTTTGCGTGTCATTGAAAAATACGAGCTCCGGAAAATCACGAATACTACCGAACGCGCCCGAGAGTTTCAAGTAAAAGACGCGCGCTCTTACATACGATACTGATATCGCGCCGCGAAGAATGCAACCTATTTTTGCACGTGTGTATAAATTGAAACGCAAAGTTATCTTTGTTTTTTTCATCATTTAGTATACTTAGAAAAAAAAATACAGTTAAATTCAAAAACAACATTTTTATAAACAAAATAAAAAATTGATCAACTAAAATTCACACCATCAGAAGTCAGCTTGCAAGTTATACGACGAAATAGTTTAAAGAACACATTAAAATATATGTCTGTACTTAAATAAGTCTATCAACGATCAAACTACTCAATCTTCCGAATGATACACACTATGATGTTACATTATGTTGGAAGCGATGATAACTCATGTGTGGCGATGATTCATTCGGCTAACGACATCCCACGCACCGCGAATTAGAAAAAAAAAAAAAAAAAAATCAAACAATAAATTTTAATTTTCATCGAAGACCTGAGCATTCTTTGTATTGTGCACCAATGTTATTTTAACGCCTCCCATACTTTGCAGATTGCCGAGGAATGCGTCAGGGCGCGGGCGGCCGAGGTGAGACAGGAGCACGAGAAACACGAGGCGGAAATGACAGGGTTGCAACGAGCCCTGCGCAGCGACACGATTAAGATGGTGAGTCGGCCGGAGGCAGCGGCAGCAGCTAGTTCCCGCCCAATGCTCTTCTATTTCATTTTGTTTTCCTACTTTGTCCACTATTTCGTCAAACGGCAAAACTTCGGTCTCCTATGTCCCTTGGCGTTCGTCTGCGACGTGCAGCGAATGCGTCGGTTCTACGATTACATTCGGACGGTCAATGTCAAGGGCCTCTCGGGGTTTTGCTCCCTTTTGTCGAAGCAGAAGCTAGAAGAGTTGCTGCTGTGATATACTTACCTATAATGACACCGATCATGGGGAGATGCTTTATTGTTTCTTGGGTGTCTTTTTCATACCTTTTCAGTCGAGTCGATCGGAGAAATCGTGATTTCGCCCGCTATTAATCTCGACCGATTCGCCAACCGATCGATGCTTCGAATGGACGATTTTTCGGAAATTAAATTTTTAAAATTAAGGCAACAAACACCGTGTTGTAATTTTTTATTCTTTTTGCTCAATAACTTTTGTACATAATCTTTTAACGAATTTTGAATAAATTTTTCTTGAAGTAACTGTTTAGTTTTCGTCCATCGTATAATTTTTATCTAGTCTAAGATAACTCGTTGGTAATTTACTTGAGATTACTTTCTTCGATCAGTAGCCGATATTTACTGGAAACATACACTTCGAAAAACTGTCTTTTTTTTTTTTCTTATAGTTTCATTCCTCGATGTTAAAAATTAAAAAAAGTTTTTTTTTCTTCAAATGATATCATAGTAGTCGATGCAAAATAAAGTGCACGTATTTTAGACACTTTTAATTTCTGCAAGACTATAAAATATCACAGATCCTATAGATGAAATGAAAATGTAACTTGAAAGAGCGGCAGAATTTTTTTTTCTACACCAAAGAGCTAAAAGTCATTGATTTCGTGTGAACGTTGGATGTTAAAGATAGCTCGAAAAGAGTAAAAAAAAATTTCTAATTGCCCCAAGAGCCTGCAATGTTTTGTATGGTCGTCTCTGTCGTTGGTCGTTTTCCCCCACGAGCAAAGGGCGAGAGAAAAAGAGACAAAGCGAGGCAAAATGAATACAGAAAATGAAGCTCGAGGGCGCGTACACACGATGTGCGCGGACAATGGGAGCTGCATCATCAGGCCCCTGATAAGTATACCATCACCATGTTGCGCTCGGCCACGCATGTATATACTGCCAACTTTGTTGTCCCCGGGGCACAACTCGACCTGTTATTATCCGAGGCATTTCGCTCCTCCCCCTTTTCGTCCTTCTGGCATCTTCCCACACTAATTTCAGCGATTTTTGCGTGCTCTGCTCCAATTTAAGATAACGATAAATTTTTTCTCTCCACTTGCCCCTACGTCTGTTTATCCCGAGTCTTTCTTCGGACGAGTTCTTTTATTTTTAATTGATTTTTCGTTTTTTTTTTTTTTTCTATTTTCCTTGCGTGCCTCCGAGTGTCCGGTCAAATATGCAACGCTTACTGCTTTTTTTGCGGAGCGATGACTGATACTTTCAGGAATTTTTGGTTGATCTTTGACTTGAATCTTTAGCTATGGATACATGTGTATAGTTTTTTTTTTTTTTTATTTATTACATTTCTATGAATACAGTTACTTTGCCAATAAAATATTGCACAACCATCGGCCTACCTACGTTCCCTGTAAAACGTAAAAAAAAAAAAAAAAAATAAAGAAAAAAACGAAATAGATATCAAAACCCCAATAAGGGAATGAATAATTTTATTCCACACCATACATAGTAAATATAAATTAGCACTTGGCAACGGTATAATCAATGATAAAGCGACCGGCAACAAAAAGCTCCATCCGTGGACCTATCCTCCCCCTTGTATAGGTATCCCAGCTATTAACATTAAAATTTTTACTCGCTTATACGAGCCATATAGGTATAATATAAAAGTGTTTCCCATAGTTTGCATGCACGTATAGTAATATATATATATACATATATGTACATGGAGTAGCGCTGCAGCAGCGGTCGGCAGTCGGTGACCGGGAGAGCGAACGATCCGCCCACTGCAATAATTCCGACGCGCACGCGCCCATAATGGAGCCTACCTCAAAGTGGATTTTAACGAGCGGCGGACCCGAGAGAAAAACGGAGGGTCTAAACTTACGTTCTGCGTGCCAAGAACGTCAGGGGCTTGCTGCTGTTTTTTTTCTTTTTTTTTTTTTTCCTCAGAGTCGGGTAAGAAT